GGAGAACCAGGCAGTTTTCTGAGGGATGAGAGTGGTTGAAGTCCACCGCCTGCCCCACTTGCCTGGTCATATACCCACGGGGCTATGTCTGCCCTGAGGGACCATCTTTTCTAATGTAAGTGAAGGTGCTATATAGTCAGGTCAACCCTGAGGAGAATCAGAGCAGCCACAGAAGACAGGAGTGTCAAGTGAGGAGCCATGTCTATGTCTTGTATGGATAATGTTCTCCCTTTCTTATCCCTTGAGTCCTTAAAGAAGCAGACTTTGATTAGGTGAACATTTTCACTTAATGTGGAAAAAAATGCTCTTTTCTCCATAAGTGAGTGGTTGTAGGAGGTGTTAACTCACTGAGGGGGTTGGAGAAAAGGCAACATTGTAGGTAGATCCAAACCACAAGGGGTAGTTGTGCCCCTTATCTCAGTGGTTCTAACTCTCTGAAGAGAGATGAGAGATCTTGTCATTTCCCCTCACAAAAACACATTGTAGTAGGCAGACTTCTAAGATGGCCCTCAAGATTCCCACCCTGTGATGTGCATGCCCTGGACAACCTCATCCCTTTGAGTGTGAGTGGGATCCATGAAAAGGGTGGAATATCACTCCCATGGTTAATTTCATGTGGCAAAAGGAAATTTCCAGATGTGATTAAGATCACTAATCAGTTGGCTTTGTGTTAGTCAAAAGGGAAGTCATCCCAGGTAGGCCTTTAAAACCAACAAGAAGCAACAGCACTTTTAATCCCAGTGACTTGGGGAAGCTGAGGCAGGAGATAACAAGTTCAAAGCCAGCCTCAGCAACTTAGTGAGGCCCTGAGCAACTTACAAGACCCTGTCTCAAAATTGAAATAAAATGGGCCAGGTTGTGGCTCAGTGGTTAAGCGCGCCCAAGTTCAAACACTTCTGCTGGCCTGGAAGAAAGCAACAGCCATGTTGTGAGCTGTGAGAGGGCCATGAAATTAGGACCCAAGGGTGGTTTCTAGGAGCTAAGAGCAATCCTTGGGCAAGAGCCAGCAAGGAAACAGCCACCTCAGTTCTACAACTGCAAGGAACTGAATTCTGCCAACAGCCATTGGGCATGAAAACCAATCCCAAGCCTCAGATAAAATCACAGGCAAGCCACACTTGGATTTTAGCCCAGTGACAGCCTTAGCAGAGGACCCAGTTAGCCTTTACCCAGACTCCTGCCCCAAAGAAACAGAACTGATAAATCTGTGTTGTTTTAAGCTGCTATTTGTGGTAATTTGTTCTGCAGCAAAAGAAAGTTCATGTACATGTGAAGGGAATCTCTGCAACCAGGTGGGCTAGCTCCAAAGGAGACTGAAAATCACACTGTGCAGCTAAATCTCAGAAGCCAGCTAGCTCCAGGCCAAGGTCCCAACTATGGCGTGATGATATGGAGACGATAGTGGCACTAAAGCCAGTCAGGATCCGTACCCTCTGGTCATTACTTGGCCAAATACAACTTAGCCCCTAAGATATGGAACAAGCAAAGCTGAATGGACCTCAAGGTTTCTTGAAAGAAGGACAGGAGGGAAAGAAGTGGAAGGAGAGAAAAGAAAACTTTATTTAGGAAGCAAATATTAATGGTGTTCAACATGTATGTATAGGCCCCAGAAATAGTGTGATTTTTTTTAAAGCAAACAAACAAAAACAAAATCTCATGCACTCCAATGAGAGAATACAGAACAATTAATAACATAAAATTTTTAAAAAGATAATATTTGGTGATGGTTAAGCAAGGGAAAAGTTGGAAGAGATGTTTATTTTCAGTTTTAAATAGAGGGGTCAGAGAAGGTTCCCTCAAAAGATGACATGTGGATATAATCCTGAAGGAGCTGAGGAGTGAACTATGTAGATATATGAGCAGTCACAGTCCAGGCAGAGGAAAGGCAAGTGCAAAGGTCCTGAGGTAGTAGGGCCAGGCCTTCCTGATAAATAGGAACATGGCCAGTGTGGCTGGAGGGAAGTGAGAAAGGAAAAAAGGAGAAAATAATGGGTTCAGAGAGTACAAGGGCCTTGTGGGTCACTTTGACTTGTACTCTGGGTAAAATGGGAGACACCGAGGGTTCTGAACAAAGGAATGACACCATTTGTCTTAAGTTTTCTGGTCTCTGTGTGAAGACTTGACCATAGAAGAACATGTATAGAAACAGGGAAATGGGTTGGGAAGCCATAGCAGTGGTACAGATGAGAGATGAGATTTGCTCAGAACAGGATCTTGAAGGTGAAAGAAGCACTCAAATTTGGGGGGCCTTTGGAAGATAGAGCCAACAACATTTGTTCTGATTGGATGTAAGAGAAAAATAGGGATATAATAACAAGATTTTTAGCTTGAGCAACTAGAAGGATACAGTTGTCATTTGCTGATAAGGAGAAGTCAGGAAGAGCTCGTTTGGCGAGGAACATTGGGAATATGGTGGAGACTTGTTAAGGAGGCCCATCATTGATATCATCAAATCAAGCAGACATGGATATTCTAACATGGAGTTCAAGGAATGCTTCAGGGTGGAGACATAAATTTGTATCTAAAACATGATCTGGATGAGATCCAAAGGAGAGTAAGTGCAGATAAGAGACATCCAAGGGTGCCCTCCCAGATTAAGATAGCAGAGGGAAGAGGGAAAACCCAACAAAGAGACAGAGAAGGAGAAGCCAATGGTGAGGAGAAACCACCAGCTGTGAGTCCTGGAAGCCATGAGAGAGTGGCCAACAGATCAAATGAGGCTGAGACATGACCTTGGATTTAATGACATGTCGTGGGAGATCTGGACAAGTGTGATTTCGTGGAGTGATGGAGATGAAAACCTGATTTAAGATGATTCAAGAGACTAATTCTGCAACAAAGGGGAACAGAGAAATAGAGCAGAGATAGAGGGGAATCTGATAGGAGAAACTAGTCCATGTTTGTGTATTGATGAGAATGACCTAATAGAAAAGGAAAAAAAAAAAATGAGATGAAATGAAAAAAAGATACGGTATTCTCAATAACACAAGAAAACAGAGGGAAAGAGTGTGACCTATTTGATAGGTTTATTTGAAAAGACTTCAATCTAGGGAATGGGGTTGTGGCTCAGTGGTAGAGTGCTCACTTAGCAAGTGTGAGGCCCTGGGTTTGATTCTCAGCACCATATTAAAATAAAGATACTGTGTCCACTGACAACTAAAAAATAAATATTTTTTAAAAGACTTAAATCTAACATTTGAAATTTAAAACCAAAAAAATTCACACAAGTTCTAAAGCCTAATGAAAACCCATGAACCACTATTACCAGCTCCAAGAGATAGACTGCCACTAACCACACCCATGTGCACCTCCCCTTTCTCCTGCATTTCTCTTAGAATAAAGCAATTTTCCTGAATTTTGTGATTAGCATTTTCTTGTGAAGTAGTGTTCTTTTTACCGTATTGTTAATTTATTGACTAATAAATCTGACGACATTAGACCACCTCAGCCAGACAGCATTACAAAATTCCTCTCACATTTTAATAGGTCACACTAAAATTCTATTTTTTCATATTCTATCTCTAGCTGGCTACTGCTTTGCCTGATAAACCCCTTCTTCTGCATGAAGATCGTTATTATTCATTCTCGTCTGTATTATTTATTCTGTATGAAGGCAGAAAGAGACTAGCATGTCTTCTAGTAGCCAGAGCATTTTTTTCTCTTGGAAGAAGCCCTGCTGGTCAAGTGCCTCTATCATCACCTGATGGTCCCTTCATAGGCCTGGGGAAGGCAGGTGATGAGACTAGTTTTCTTTCAGCCCTAGATCTTGCCTGTGGACAGCTGGCTACCTCCACATCACCCAGGATTTTCCAGGTGTGCAAGGACCTCAGGACTTTGACAAATGCCAGCAGGGTGGGCCCTTTACAAATGGATGACTGCAAGCTGTAAAAAGCCCTCTGCATATATTAACCTGAATCCCAGCTCCCCACACACTTGCTCACTGATGCTTGAAATTACTTTAAGGAGAGACAACAGCTTTCATCGTACAACTAGAGCAACCTTTGAAGGCCCTAGGTGAACAAACTCATTGATTTAGAATAATGCACACGATTGTATAAATGGACTGAAAGATTGGATGGTGCCATGAGCACCTTAAAAAACGGTGTGAAGTGATAAAGGGTGTAGCAGAGCAAGAGGGGTTTTTTCTTCCCCCACAGGGAAATTAAAAAAGAACAATCTTGAAATCAATAGACCTGGAGTCAAGTTGGCTGTTTGACCATAGGCAAGTTACTCAAAGTTTGAAACTTGTTTCTGAATCTGAAGGTAATACCTACCTCCAGAGTTACTTTGGGAATTTGATGCCATTCGTTTTGAAAAAGTTCCCTAGCACAGTGACCACATTTTATGGGGCATTTTCCTTCTTTCCCCATGTCCCCAGGCATCCTGGACTCTTCTTCTTATCCACTCTAACCTCATCCCCCTCTTAGAGTGAAGAATCTGGAACAGGCAGCCCGGTTCCGATCCTATCACTTGCTAGCAGTCAACTCGGGCAAATTACTTAATGCTCTGCGCTAAATTCTCCCATCTGTAAAAATGGAGATAATAGCAACCCTTGCCTCCTGGGGCGGTTTTCAGGATGAAAAGAGTTAACATACGCAATGCATTTAGGATAGTTCCCGGCACAAACAAAAAAGGTCAACAGGCATTTGTTGCTATTATTCCCTAGGGTTTCTCCTCACCTGCTCACTTTCCACAGGTCAAAAAAAGAAAAAAAAAAATCACTATAAGCTCCTCCACTTTCGAGCCCACAGTAAACTGCTCCACATTCCCCCAGGGTTGCCAACGTCCCCTCCCCACCCCGCCCCTAACCTCCCAAGCCTTCTGGACCCGCCAGACCGAGGCGGGAGCGCTTGCAGTGACCCCCAACCGTGCGGCCAGCAGCCGCGGGCGCGGTGGGTGGGGGAGCTCTGTGACGTCGCCTGGGTCGCGAGCGCGGGTGAGCGTCCGCGGCGGCTGCGGGTTGCTAGGCGAAGTGCAGCGCTCACAAAGCCCCGCCGCGCCCGCCGCGCCCGCCGCGGGCCGCTCTGCTCCCTCCTGGCTGGCGCTACCCTCGCCGCCCAGGTTCCGTTGCTGTCCCTCTGCCAAGGGTGCCAAGCCCTGGAGCTCTCCTCGCACCTCCCGCCTGAGACCAAGCGCCAGGTGCCGCCTGAAGCCACACTGCCCCTTTGGGAGCGAGCCTGAGGTAGCCACCCGGGAGCGGGAGTGGAAGGAAGGGAGCGCCCTGGGGGATGCGCACTGCCCGGCGGACCCATCCGAATTCTGAATCCTTCTTTGCTCACACAGCAAGGGGTGGGCATGAAAAAGTGACCGTGGGAGAGTATTGGCTTCTGGCCAAAATGTATGTGTGTTTCGTAGGCAGAACTCCTATTTTATGATGTTTTACACCCAGGACAGTGATTTGGAAACACAACAGAATCTGGACTCAGAGCCCCCAGTGAGGAACCAAACCTCTGCTTTTTCATCTGTATCATGGATGTAAGAATACCTTCGGAGGGATTGATGGGAGGACCCTGGGCATATGACTAACACATTATAAACTGATACCATTCATTGATTTTTACTGTTATCTTGAATCCTAAGTTCCAGCCACTGACTGGGGTAGGCGTTGGAATTCTATAGTAAGCAGAAACTGACCATTTCTGCTCTGGAGTTTTCAATCTATCACTGGAAGACACGTGGTAATCAAAGAATCATACAAATTAAGTTATTTAAGCCTCCCCAAGGAGAGGTAGGTAAGTGATGTGGACCAGCGGGAAGGTCAGAGAAGGATGAGCTGAGCTCTGAGGAAAGGATTACCTGTGAAAGGTAGGGAATGTATGCCAAGCAAAAGTTCAAAACCAACCACCTCATATTCCAAACCCAAACAAAAACTGCTGCCTGGTTCTTGGTTCCAAGAGCTGTTTGTAGAAACTGTCTCTGAGATTCTGGTCTCTAGAGCCTTTCATTCATGTAGCTGGAGACTCTCATTTCTACAGCTGAAATCCTGGTTAGCCCACAATAAAACCAAATGAGAAATTCCAGAAACAAGCCTATACTTGATATTTGATAAGACCCATATTCTTCAGCACTTAGCAAGTATGTGTTGGCCTGCAGTTCCCTATTGGGAGGCACGAGGTTTCACCTCATAGGAAACTTACTGTATTATTATTATAAGCATTGGAGGTGAGCCCTGGAATGTAAAATTAAGAAGACCTACAAGACCAAGAGCTTTAAGAATGAAAAAGAATTTTACAAAATAATGGAATAGTGTAATGTTAAGATAAAATGGACCTTTCTCCCATTTTTAAAAATCTGATGTGAACAAATGGCCCATAATATCTAAAGACCAAAAAAAAAAAAAAAAAAGTTGGGTGGGTTTGGGCTCTTATCCAACCCAAAGAGTATATGATTCCATGTCTTTGTGACTCAAGAATGCATGGAATTCCTGAGGATAAGTGGGCAGGCACATAAGGAGGAGAATTTGACCTGACTCTCCTTTAGTGTTTTACATTTCTACAGTAGTACCACCATCATGCATCCATCACCCAGGCTTGAAAAATAGGAGTCACTCTAGATCTTGTCCCTAACCTTCCTCCCAGTGATTATCCCTACTCCTGTAGATTCTATTTCCTAAATACCTCCAATTGCAATTACCTTCCAAAGCAATGAAGCTGTTTGAGAGTTCTTGCCCAAAGTGCTTCCAGTTCTCCTAACCAGGCCTCATCCTCTCAGCCCACTTGTTGGTCAATTTGTGTTTCAGAGTCCAAAACAGAGAATGAAGTCATCTAGTAATTTTAACAAGGAAGGTTCAATCTAAAGAATTTTTTGACACTAATGAGATTGGAGTAACAGAGAATTGGCTAAGTAAGATGTAAGGTAAGACCTAAAGTATATAGGAATCACAGACATGAGGAGCAACCACTACTCTTGAAACTGATTATCCCAGAAAGGGGTCTCTCCCAGAGCTTGTTGCAGAGGGTGTGGCCAGGACTTACTAGAAGGCAGTGAAATTACTGAGATGCAGGGCAGGCAGAATCTACTCTCTGGGATGCCAGAGAAGCCATTTCTGACACCCACTGGTAACACTCGTGCTACAATGCTTCCCAAGAGAGGAACCAGGGTGTGTCAGTTAGCTTTCCAGTACTATAATGAAATACCTGAAACAACCAACTTAGAAAGAGAAAAGTTTTATTTTGGTTCATCATTCTAGAGGTTTTAGTCTAAGATAAAGTGACTTTATTGCTTTAGGCCTCTAATGACAGCTACACATCATGGCAGGAATGTGTAGCAGACCATACTGTTCACTTCATGAGCCATGAAGCAAAGAGAAAAGAGGAAGAGACTGAAGTCCTACAATCCCCCTTAGAGGCATATTCTCAGTAATCTAAGGACCTTTTATTAGGCCCCATCTCTCATAGGTTCCATCTTCTACCAGTAGTGTACCACCCTAGTGACTATGATTTAACACATGGGCTTTGGAGGACACTCACTCAAGTCATATCACAGGGGAAGCTGCTGGCCTTTGGGCACTGTGAGCCTGTAGTCTAGCAGTTAGGCACTCAAGAGATTCCCGTACTGCATGAACCAGATGCTGGAGAAGCCATGCCCTGCAGGATCCCAGCACTGGAGAAATTGCAGGTTCCTGGAGCCCAGCAAGAGCAGCACACCTGAACCTGCAAAAGAAACCGCTTCTCCTTCCCGTGTCTCTCCAGTGCCCAGTAATGACAAAGCTCAACATTGTGACAGCTGGCAAGGGAAAAATATTTAAAGAATCTAGTTCCAGTTTTGCTGAAGCAATGAAGGATAAATTTAGAGCTAAGAGGCAATAAACTGATAACTGACACATCAGGCTAATGTTGAAATCTAACGGTGTGACTCTAGTGCTTAAACTTCTCTGATGGCTTCAACATAAATTCAAAAGCCTTACCAGGCATAGCAGGCCTTATACATTTTGGTCTTTGGGCTGTATTTCCAGCCATAGATCCAAATACAGTTCCTTCATTACTCTAGCAGTCTAAAATTCCAGTTCTCTGAACACAGTGTTTTTGTCAACGGGACACTTTTGCATAAGTCATCCTCCTGGACACGTGGAATTCCCTCCTTACTCTCATAGTAAATAGATGCTTAAGGAATTCTGACCCTATTTTTGGCACTGTTCTGGAGGCTGGGGACATAGAAATGAACAAACCAGGCTTCTCTAAGTCTCAGTTCCAATGTCATCACTTTTTGAAAAGTATTTTCTGATCTCCTCCTACTTCTAGACAAGTTAGATCTCTCATCTTGGAGTTTCTTTTTAGTTCTCCTATATTTAGTGAAGAGTTCGTGACATGTATCTCACCTCATTTTGATTTAGCTTTTAATACCTTCAGCTACCCTGTAAGCGCCATGAATTCAGGGTATGTGACTTATTTCTGTATCCCAGTATTCAGCACAATTCTAATAAAACATAAGGTTTTATCATATTGGTGATCTTCCCAGAATCACATATTTAGTCAAAGATAGGCCCAGAACCAGAATCCTGGTGATCTGCCCCATGACCAAGAGTGTTTCTTTACTAGAGCTTTATCTGTCCTTTGGGTGTTCTGCTTCATCTAGCTATGAAGGACAGCAACCCTGTATTTTGTACTGGGAAAAAACAATGTAATGTTACAGAGTATCAGAACTGGCAATGGAAACAAGGGAGATACAGTCCTGATCTTATTTGGAAAGCAAGGGTACATTCAACTCTCAGGATCTTATATGTATCCTTTTGAGTTTCTGAGTCATGGGAATGTTACAATTAAGTGAGAAGTAGAAGGACAAGTAAAAGAATGAGAATGCTGTGGGGTATTCTGAACTTCATTCTTAAAGGATGAAGATTGCACACTTAAGAAGGACAAGGCTAAGGTGACACCAAATACATATGCCAGATCCCAAAATCAGGGGACCACATTGCACAATTTCAGGGAGCACATGGCAGTCTGTAAGCAAGCCATGTTTCCCTGGGATTGAGGTTCATGATGTGAACATGGAGGAAATCTTTGAAATATAAGCATGCCTCAGTTAGGATAAATCAGAGAGGTGCCTGTTCACTTGTTAAATAACCATGTAGAACTCATGGCTTCCAAGAGATGGTACTAGCCTGACATATAAGCAAGTATGGAAAATTTGCTAATAATAGGACCAAAAAAACTACTACTCAGAAAAAGCACAAGGTCAGGCAGGACTGCTCTTAGGAATATTGCTGTTGGCATCCAAATGCTGGGTTGGCTTGACCATGGATTTGGACGAGAAAGATCCAGGCTTCTGTGAATTAAATTTGGAAGAGCAAAGTTAATATGGATAAGGCAAATTGTGGAGATCTTGAAAGATGGACTGGACATAATTTCAACAAGAAATTAGGATCCACTAAAGGTTTTTGACAGTGATGTGGTAATAACATGAATCATTAACAAATATCTGACAAAGCTAAGCCTCAATTTCCTGGCATTGGAGAACTTTTGATATTAGAACCTACTACGTATAGATTGTTGTAAGGATTAAGTGAGATGTTGAATGTGCAGATTGCCTTTAGGCCTGTTTTATGCTGGGCATCCTTGCATTTATACCAATTGTATAGACTATGGTTAAAGAGACAGTGACCATATCTTCAGGACAAAAAAATTAAGACATACTCTGACATAATTTTTGTTTCACTTCAAGGTGATGCAGTTGGGATTATCTAAGATACTTTAGTGATTCATGAGGACAGGAGGACATACTATTTGAAATTGGAGTTGTGTTGATGTGTAATTACCTTATTCAGAGAGGGGCAGTGTGCAAAGAGCAATTGTCTTGGTTCAACTCTAGCATAAATTATTAACCTTGTGCCAACTTTTTTTTTTTTTTTTGTGGAGGGCGGAACCAAGGATTGAACCCAGGGTTGCTTAACCACATCCCCACTACCGCTTTTTATACTTTATTTAGAGACAGGGTCTCACTGAGTTGTTTAGGGCCTCACTAAAAGGCTGATGCTGTCTTTGAACTCAGTTCCTCCTTCCTCAGCCTCCTGAGCCACTGGGATTAGAGATAAGTGCCCACCTTGTACCAACTTCTTAACTTTTTTATATCCAATTCTCTAATATATAAATTGAAGATAGTGAGTTGTATTATAAGTTAAGCCTCCTCCTTGCTGGTGGTGGTTGAAAAGGTATCCCTTTTTATTTTCTTAACTGAAAATAAAAATTTGTAAAGGTCTTTATGAATTGAAGTAGAGAATTTTACAAAAATGGCTATGATGCATCCAACAAGGCAATTGAGAGAATAAAATTAGTTTCCTTTGGAGGCTTTTATGAGAAAGGGGAATTCTACAGTAGGGTAGCTGATGGGTAGGACTGTTGCATGGTTGAAAGTTTATAATTTGAGAGTCATCAGCATAGAATTCTGGTTAAAACCTCAAAAGTAGGCATCTACCTCTCAGCTGGCAGGTGGCATGCTGTAGGAGTTCAAGGCATCCCACTGTAGCAAGTGAAAAAAGA